ATTTGAATTGCACGTACGCTATTATTCTTAGACGCAAATTGATGAACAAGCCGGTGTTCCTCACTATTTATTACCGGTGTTCTCGGGTAAAAAGCCGGATAATTTATGTCTACACCGCGAAGCATTCGAAGATCGATTGGGATAAAAATTGGCGTGGTGTCAGGGACGACTTCGCTCGTGGCAAAACGGGAGCACGCGGTTCAGTGCCTCCACCTTGATTATAAAATCGATAGCGCACGACGACATACGCGAGTCGCGCTTTGCATACTGCTCTTCGTTGACTTATGACACAACATTCGGCACGCGCCGGCGTACGTACTTTTGATTGCCCTTTGATACTGACATCGCGAGAGTTAACCTTTTTCCAATTAAATTGAACTCTCCGCGGATTGAACCCTCGACGCGGCGAGGTGATATTTGTTCAGCACTGTCGACCAAATTGAAGTGTACGCTTGTATAAATAGGGGATGAAGCGAAAATTGATGAAACAGACGCGAACAACAAAGATGGAAAAGGTAATGGAAAATCACGCGTCTGTTGCTTCGAAACTTGTTTTTTTTGTTTTATTTTTGCCAATAACGTCGCGATAAATTATTCAAATTCGACAGCATGTTATCTTGCCGCTTAAAAACTTGAAAAACTTGATAAGAAGAGTTATAAGTTGCAGATTTTGCAGAAAATTATTTTTCGTTGAAAAGAAGTAAAACTTCTTTTATTGTCAATCTTTCAAAAATATTCTTTACATTATTCAAAATAAATATAATTTTTTTATATCTTTCCTAAATAAATATTGTCAAGGAAAATACTATCTTTCTTGAAAAAAGTGTCTTTTACAGTCTTTCTCATGTCAAATATTTAATTATGGAAATTTCAACCAACTTCCGCAATTTTTTACCTCGGATTATGCCGGATTCATGATCGTATTTGACTTTTAAGTACCATTATCCGTTGGCTGCTCAGTCTTTAGAATCCAAATGTCGGGAAAATTATAGACTCACGCTACTTGAAACGGTTTAAACGGCTTTTTTGTCCTAGCAGATAAAAAGTTTTATCCTTGGACATGTGGGTTTTGTTAAATTTTTAGCTTAAACGTTGTTTTACATTTTTAGTTTAATGCATGTTTCGAATGTATAACGCAAATATAAAACATACAGTTTCACTGAAAACATCCGCCGTGCGTTATTCACGCGTAAAATATTAAAACATTACAATTTTAATGCAACAATTGGCGTAAACGGCCATCTACGACTATGTAAATTTACAACCTCGGATATCTATTACAATGGCGACATTGCGTACACATCATGCACATCGTTATAATTGCATTGTGTCATAATTTCCTGCATAATCGCGAAAGCTCGATACACGACAATTCTCTTTGTCCCATATCGATAACAACGCGAGCATCGGGAATGGGCCGCGGACATTAACGATGATACGACTCGGATTTTGGCCGCTAATATTCCGGAGAAAATGGCCGGCCAAAACACGGCTGGCACGGCTGGCACATGTAATGTAGCATCGATTTGGCATGCGATTGTTAAGGGATATCTACGTCATGGGACGTCGAATCTGTTAATTGCCGGGACCATGTGGAACTAATTATGAAACATTCGCGGATACGAAATGTCCGAAACTTATAACATCGAAATGTAATAATTGCTGTAAATGATATGGTCATTACAGCAGCGTGTCACATAATCGATACATTTATTTCTGCGCGATTTTACTGTGCGAACGGCAAAATGTAGCGGGATACAATTTCCATTATATGTTTTACAGAACTTTCGGTAGAGATTATGAAAACTGGGACAAAAATTTTAATTCTTGCAATAATTCACAATCAGGAAAGTTTCGAAGGACATTAAATATTATTTATCATAATTAATAGAGCTTAGTCGGCGGGATTCCGCGTTGGTAGCCATCAAAGTGGTATTACCTCCGTGCGATAAAATTTTACGACGAGAAAAGAAAGCGGGAAAATTATAAAAGAGAAGGCATAATGTTTATAAAAAGGCAATAATGTTTTATAAGGGTTCGCATAACGGTTTCAAGTACATATAATCCGCATACAATGCTCAAAGATGTGCTTTGAAGTTATGCTAATGCTACTAATAACTGCAGCCTTTATTTTTAATATTCCTTTTATCTCTTATTCCTCTCTTTCTTTAATAGATACTTTAATGGATACTTTATAAGTTCTAAAAGAAAAAAAAAACTGAACATATAATATTACATTGCAAATTACATTACACGCGTGAAGAATTGCGGCGTTTAACAGCGACACACGCTTGCCGATAGAACGAATATTTGACGACGATTTCCACGTCTCACTAAAATTTTTCATTAACATTCGCGTTACGGCGTTACGGCGCGTCAGGAAGACTAACGTCGGTTACACGTCTACTTTGCGAGATTCAGGTGGAAACTACGAGAGTCTTTTGATCCGCTTAATTTACATAAAGGCACGCCTCAAATGGCGAAACGATCAATCAAGTCGCCGCGGGAAACTAGTTACTATCGCCGCTCTTTTCGTGCGGCCGGCTGTTCGATCGGTTCGATAGTTTATAGACCGCAAGCGGCGGGAGAGCGTTGTTTCTCCCATTCCGGAAATTTGTTTCGTGCGTTAAGTTGCGCTCGATGCGAACATCAGACGATAACTTCGAGATGTTCGACTTTAATCAATAAGAGGGAAGGTGGGGGGAAGTTGCCTTTACCCTTTGCAGCCTTCGATAGTAAAGCAACTTATTTACTTGCTATGCATTCTAAACGTTCCTAAATGCGTACATAGCGCAAGAACAGAATAATAGAAGACGGTGGTGTAGAATATAGCGATAATGCGAAAAGCTAATGCAGCTCGCTATTATACTATAATTTATTTAGAAATATATTCAGCTCACATTTTCGAAATATTGATTTTATTATTAAAAATTGTTTCTCTTTTCACTGAAAAAGGTTATGTGCATTTATTTCACGGGTGTAATCGCGAGTGTAACGATATTGAGTTGTTTTTCTTCCTGATTTGCAACAAGGATATTGTGAAATTCCTTTGTTAAAAATAAAATAACACATTTATATGCAATTTTATACCTGCAATGTAATTAATACTAAGCGGTGTTAAAATACTATGAGTGTGTAATCGAAGAGCGAATTGCATTGGCTTGGATATAATGCACTTGTTCTACTGGCGGGAAGAAATATATGGCCCGACTATAATTTACTTATTCCACTGTGAGAGTTGAATCCACTGTCCGCGCGCCCGCGACGTACTTGTTCTACTGCGAGGAGAGAATATATGGTCCGAGTACAACTTAGTTATTCAACTGTAGATATAGCAACTTATACAATATTAGTATTTCCGTTGTGCTGACACTTTCCTACATTTTGCACTAACACATAACTCGGTATGCATATAATGTTATGATGACGAAGCGTGTTGTAGGCATTTTTGTTTTATAAGTTTTCTATCATCGAATATAAAGACGGATAAAAAATAATAAAAATATATATATATATATATATAAAAATGTAATTATAAAAGTATTATAATATTCTATACATCATTTTTAAAGAACAGATAATTAAAAAGTAAATTTTTCACATCTGACGCTAAATAAGTGACTAATCTTTTCAATTTTTTAATTTGTAATATATTATATTTTTTAATCATAATTTTACATCACTTATTTTACATTAATATTTAATGCGGCTGTTTTTATGAATAATAATTATATATTTTAAGTTAAATTAAATTTAATTTAAATGAAATTAAATTGGATGCAATTTTACATTAATTACAGTTGACTGATAAAACTTTAGACGTGATATTAATTGAAAAAATAATAGTTACATAAATTTCAATATATTTATCTGTTTTGCAATAACAAATATTGCAGGAAGAGCGCATTTTGCGTCGCGGCTACAACCGATATCTCGATTAAAATCGCTCGAATTTACGGCGTAATAAACAAACCAGTTCAAAATATTTCCTCTCGCCAGTAACACGTCAGTGTCCGATAAATCCTCCCCGTCCTTCCCGATATCACCCGTTGTAATTGCGCGTACGATTCTGCCGGCCGAGTGACGCTTTGTTACACGATAGTGTCGAGGATTCCTGGCGCTATCAAGAACTGGAATTCCATTTCCAGGCCCCACGGGCGCAACTTTTTCTATTCTTCTGGTTCGGCCTGATTTATCGTCACCTTTACGCTCACGTGCCTGGGGTCTTCCTCCGGGTACACCCTGCGGTACACTCGCGTGATTGATACGGGGCTGTAGATCGTGGGGGTAAAGGGACGTTCCATAAGCCTCGCGTGCGGCCGGAATTCCCGATTTTCCGCTCCTTTCCTTCCAGTCGATGTATCCTTCGAAAATGGCCGACGGTACCAGCATGTTAATCACTCGCACGTCTCTCCGCTGCAAATTGCAGCTGATACGTATCTCTCAAGATTACTTCGTAATGCTTTTTGAAAAATGAATTCATTAAAGCGTTTTTCCAGCGATGAATAAAACGTCGCGAAAACTTTGTGAAAAGAATATCACTCGAACTTTTATATAAAGTATAATTTTTATGCAAACGCACTCCTTTTTTGATGACAAATCACATATTTGTATTGAAAGCCATCGATAAAAATAAAATGCAGTTTTAATGAAATGTATAATATACAAGAGAGTTGATTTGCAAAGTTATAATACATGTTTGAGCTACGATAAAATTCTGAAGAACTTTTCAATATTTTTTTACGATCTACGAAAGTACGTAACTCAGCATTATTCTTCTGCATATATCGTTCCTTTTATTCTTTCGTTCTTTTATTCGATTATCAGGGAAATCAACTCATAAATTTTTGCAATATCCTTTTACGAATCACTTTGCATTGTAAAACAGATACATATGTTGCTGATAACTTGATTCAGAAACAAATCAGTGATGTCAAATACATGAATAAAACGAATTACGTTGATTCGATAAAAAGACGTTACGTACTGTTGCATTCCAGAGGCTGAAGTGAGATCACCACGTTTCACTGGATCAGGCTGGCTGGCTTTTCCCGCCTTAAGAGCCGCTTACAAACACGTCCAATTAGAATTGGAATTTCGGCCCGAAGCGTGGGACGGAGTGCTCCTCCTGGCCGGAGAACGGGACGATCTTCAGGGAGACTTTATGGCTCTGATACTGCATCACGGGTTTATCGAATTCAGGTACATACGCTACTTAAACTAATTTATTGCCATTAATTTAATGACGGCCATCATAATTTGCATATCACTAAATCATTCAATTATTTATCTCTATATTGGCGAAGTCAAATATGTATATGAGAACGTATTTAACTGAATAGCTGTACACAAGAAATATTCAGCCAAAATTTGTGACAAAATGTAATAACGAAATCAATATAATATAATGTGGTACTGCTTTTAACGCGTCTAACAAAATTATTATGTGGAACAAATAGACTACAAGGCTAAATTTTAGTAAACACTCTTCTGCTATTTGCTTTGTTTATTCGTCGATACAAGATCGCTGTTGTGCCTTTCTTTAATGTGTCTAAAATATTATTTGTGAAATTTGAATTACAATTACACATTAATTGTCGAATTACATTTAATATTTTGACTGTCTGTTGATCGACATTATAACACTTAGTTTTATCACCATCTGTTTTCTTTCATAGAGCTTGCTTATTATTTTGACGTTGAATATGTATTCGGTGATAGTCCATTTGTACTACTTAAGTCTACTTAAAACGTAAAATTAATATATCAACAGAAACACGAATAGCAAACTTTCTAAAAGGATTAATTTAATAGATGACAAGTGAGATCAGGATATTAATTAAAAGATTAAGAATGGATTGTCGTGAACGTCGCTGAAGTGTAATGAAGATCGCAAACTTCTAAATAGCATCAAGGTCCATCGATTTTTTTTTCTTTTTTTCCGCGCGAGCCGTATTGAATATAAAGTTATACGGGACGCTTTACAGGACACTTCAGCGTCATAATTTCGGTGGCTCCGCCGTGAGTTTGACGTGGTCATTAATTAAGCATTCCGCGCCGGGGCTAATTTTTCGTTTACAGCTTCATAAGCCGTGACTTAATGGCGTCCGCGTACGATTTATGAGCGCCGCGCAAAAAGTGGAAGTTTACCTCTTGCAATATACTCCGATTCGTTCCTTTTACGGCGTTTTGCGCCCCGTCGAGCATCGACAGCAAACTTTCGCGCCGTGAAAACGACGTTGTAGGATTTATTTTACAGCGTCGCACGCCGCGTAAAAAAGTTCCGCCTGCAAGTACGTACGTGGCCAAGTGTTATGCCGCCACATGACACCTGTAATATCACACCGGTACTCGCGCGCGAATCTCGCGACACACGCGACAGCGCACTCGAAATAACGAAATGTCTCTGGACGGACGCGCGGCTCCCGTTTCTCCGGGACTTAGAGTTGCGGGGGGGACAAAGGGAATTGAAATCACAGATTGAGCGTCAAATTCATAGACGCATACATCAGAGGCGCTGTGTATAATTTATTCATCGACATCCGTCGATATGGTCGCCTATTGTTGCCTGGATACCGCGGATTTGTTTCCGCAATTCATTAATCGAACGCTAAATGATTAGCCGTGTGGATTTGTCGTTCTATTAGCCGGGCGGGGAGTTATTACGGCGCGCTTACATATTAGCGGATTACTTTCGCGATGATCGCGAATAGATTATCAGCGCCGGCGATGATTTCCATATTGATCGCACGCCGACAACAAACGCTGCCAGCGATGCTGCGTTATCGAGGCGGCCGCAGACGTTATTGAATGCGGCTGTGGTCTTTTTTTGTCATTAACGCGCGAGCGCACCATCCATTACGTTATTAAAGGAGTTATTCATCATCGCATTTGGCGAATAGGCTGGGGCAGACACATCCAATACTGATTTTTCTACATCTATAGCCTTTCTATATACCTTTCTATACACGAGTTATTTTTACGGAAGAAAAAGAAGAGAGAATATCACACACAAAAGAGTACTTGCTTTCTGAATTTTTGGAATAAAGTTTTTTTTTCCCCTAGAATTATTAGATACGAATACAAATGTTTCGAAATTAATTGTAAAACTTTAATTGTAAAAAACTTCTGATCTATCCTCGTAGTTTAATTGAACAAAGAAAACTTTTACTGCAATGACATAACGAAAGAGTATTATTGCGAACTCCACTTCGGTCGACAGTGCCTGACATTTTGCGACGTGCCTGACATTCCCGATCGATTAACATTAGCATCGCACTTTCTGCGGTAAGGTTCGACTGCGGCAGTGGCGTGGGCACTGTGAGGAGCACGGAAACGGTGAAGCTGAACGAGTGGAATACCCTGAGTGTCTACAGACATCGATGGGACGCCTGGATCCAGTTGAATCAGGAGAAGAGGGTGGAGGGACGATCGAAGGTGAGGACACTTCATTTTATTTCCATCAAGGCCAGGCGCCGGATATTATTTACCCGTATATACCCCGCGTATTCAATGAGGAAATCGATAGTTCGCGGCGAGGCGGGACGTATTATCGGGATTACCAGTGAGTTTATTCGAATTCCCGAGATTCTTACGGTCGACGTCCACGCGGCTCGCCTGCCCGCCACCCTTGGGGACTTTCCGCTCGTGTTTTATGTAACGGCGCAATAAGAAATTGAAATCAATTGATCGCGATAATGGTAATTCGGTTGTCGCTCCTTGCGGTAAATAAGCATTTCATTTCGTTTAAGGCTTTGTTTAAAACATCGAGATGTGCTAAAGTAATTTTCTTTAATAAATATTTTCTTCAAAAAATGATAGAATATATATAAATTAATGATAACAAAATATAGCGATTAAATAATTATCGTGCGCAGAGAAAATATTTTAACACATTATTTTGAAGAGCGAAAGATATTTGAAAAATTATTCTTATCGTGCGGCTGAATTTTCAATAACTCAAATAGCGTATGCAAAAGAACAGTCGGAAATTTTGCTCGAATACATTGATGTTCACACGATCAGCCGTTGTAGAACAAAAATTGCTCCTATTCGATGAAATTCACTCGCGAAAAGTTTAATGGCGCCAGCATTAAACGCTGTTGTATCTTGTGGAAACTTCCTCGAAACTTTAATGAAAGAATGTAGTCCGGAAATTGAAGAAACGTTCTTACGTTTTGAAACTTCTTTCCCGAGTATTCCACGTGGGCTGCGCAGAGAATTTTTGACCTTCTTTTTTATTTCGTGCGCAAAGCTGAAACTTTGTTGGGATTTATATCGATATGTGCTAAAACGCATTATACGTTGCTGTCGCAAACGAAACTTCAGCTCTCTTGAAAATTCTTCTTTTGCTGCGGTCGCATTAAAAGCCCGCAAAAGCTCCGCATGAGGAGCTTCTTGCCCTATTTTTGGTGTCCCACATATCACAAGAAATAAGACACGAATAGTGTACTTTGGAAAGATTGCGATTTATTACTGTCGCAATATAATATCATTCTTGACCTCCAATTTTAGCGTCGTAACGTTAATCGTCTTAATGGTGTTTTATACAAAAAAAATACACATTATTTTTTCCAAAAACTTTATATACCTATACATTTTATACAAATATTTTTTTTTGACGGTAAAATTTTAACTTTGCGATGTAATAAAGAAGCTCTAGATAGTTTTGTTGAGAGAAATTTGCAAAGGAATTTGCCATTAATAAATTTTCCAAGGAATTCGCCATTAAACGCACTGACAGCCGCGCATTCCGTGCAAAAATAGCCGTGACAAAATGGGGCACGCGCAAAATTTTTGGAGAATGCAGTAGCGGTGATATAAGATGGCAAAAAGGTACGAGCGGTCGGAATATAGATCGAGACAAATGGCGGAGGGTTAAAAGCGGCGAACCACACCCTAAAGCGGAGCCACACCTTCCTGATCAATCTAATCAGGAAAAAGTGCCATTATCCATAAAACTTGTCTGAATACGGTACTTCCGGCCGGCGCGTAATAGTCGATCGATCTCGCTCTTTCGCATATTAATCCGTCCCAATTGATTATCCTCATGCTCGCTCGGTGTTCATCAAAATAGCATAACTCGAAAACCGCATAATAAAGGGATCCTCTATTTGCCGGAGTGCGTTCAAATAGCTATTACAGAAATGTATTGCTGTTTAGCCGCCGTGTGTTAGTTCGTTCGGATGTAACAGTTGGCTGAACGCGGAAATCTTTATTCAAAAGCTTAAAAAGAGAGGTGTGTTGAAAAATGCGCTAATGTCTCTTGTATCTAAATACAAGGTCTAGCGAGGGAAATCATACATTTTTATTTTTATTTTATTTTCCCTTTTTATATCGCCGACAATTGGCTGTATCGACTGTCTTCATCTTCAAAGTAGTCCCTTTTTATGATGCGATACACGAAGACCAGTTTCTTCACGCTCGATAGCATTTCTGGAACTCTTCTTGCGGGATCGCTTTTATGACTACTACCGTCTTCGATCTCGTCAAAGTATCTTTCTCCTACTGATCCCCATAAACCTTTACGTATCATTTCATAGATCTCGATTCAGTTGTCCCTTTGCTAAGAATTTTACACTGCTCTTCGCCGCTCTGACATCGCATCCGCCATCGCTTTCCGTCGAAACACAAGAACGCCCTACAGTAATCGCTCCCCCAAATTGACCAAAGTCAGTTCTACTGGTGATTGCTCTTAAGGGCTCGTGTCAAACATACAAATTTCCTCCACGGAGTCACTGTGCACCGAGAAAAAAAAGGAGGTCGGAAACTTGTTTGTCAAACTTTGTACATCAAGAACTCCAGTCAGGAAAAATTATTTTGCATATTGTAAAATTGTGCATTTTTCAATGTGCAAAACTTTATTTCCTTCTTCTCTTTCCAATCAAAAATTATAATACATGTGTTGTGATTTGCGAACACGTGAATGCAGGAAATACTTAATGTTGAAGTTATATTAATAACAATTTAAATTTACACACGAGAGAGAGAGTAAAAATAGTCACATTGTATTTTCTTGAAATTGCACAATTTGCGCGATTGCACGAGTTATATAATGGCAACGGTTTTATAGAAAATAATACCACTGTCCATTAAACAGGAATAATTATTTATAAATACGTGAACGTGAAAGACAAAGAGAGAAATATCAATTAATATTACAATTACTATTGACTCAATAATCTCACAGCCTTTTAAAATTACACATCAAAAATTTATATTCGCAATTTAGCATGCGACATAGCGCGGTAATTAATTTTTGTTTACAATATTTACGTCAAAAGTAATTAATCACTGTCAATTAATACCTACGTTATCGCGAAAAGCATTCTCGCGAGCGCGTTGTAATAATACAACTTTTTTCGATCATCGAAACAGATCCAGATCGGTCGCAGTCCAGTCACAAACCAGCGCGATCCTCAAAGCTTGACAAAATCGCTCTTAATTAAGAGTCGACGATTCAATTTACAAGGTATCAGCGCATGCCGCCGAGCAACGTTACTTCCTTTCTGATGCAAACGCCGAACAACGTTCTTTGACGCATGAGGTTTTCGTAGTTGTCTTGCAAACGAATACACGAATCTTATTGTTAACCGGCCCGCTCTTCGTTTTAATCGTATTCCGGCGCTTGTTGCGCGCCGCTTCTCGTGCTCTTTTTTTCTTAATTTAGTTTGCATCGCTTCTTCGTGACACTGTAACCGCCCGTTCGCCTTGTTACGTTGCAAATGAGATGCAGCGCCCGGACGAAGGATCAGAAGTGCAAGTGAGACTTATGGAGCCTTTTTGCGCCAGTGATAACGGATAATCTTTCAGAGGTGCTTGTTGAGAGGACTAGGAGACCAATTTGCCAAATTGGCGAGGTTAATGATATTTTTTTCACATAATACGTTTTAATACATTGTTATGCACACGTTGCGCAAACTTCGATACATTTGGCAAAATTGAAATTTGTTCGGAATATTGCGGCGTAAAAATATATAGATACACAAATATGACAAAAATGCAATTCTAGGCAATTGAGTGCAATTGATTGCAATGCAACTGAGTTCGACGATCAACAATGAAGATATTAAATATCAAGAGATCAAGCACCGTCGATAAATGTCTCATCCACTTTTTTCCGCCAATCCTTCTTCAACGAGTCTCTCGGTCGTCCAGAATAGCGGTATGATAACGAGGAATTATCGGCTGGTTCTCGACCTGTTTTTCTCAGGCTAGGTTTAATTACCTTTAAAATCGGGCAGCATCGCCGGCAAATGGCTTCGCGTTTCAAGCCCACTTTATCCTAGAGTGCCATTAAGCACTCGGTGTCCTAACGACAGCGTCGTAATTAGAGAAGCCACCCCTGACCTCTCCGCTGTCTTCCACTGTTCTCGCCGGTTCTTTCCCTTTCTCCTTCCTTTCTCTCTTTTTTTTCTCGCCGCATCTTCTTCGCTTTGGAAAAGAGATCAAAAGAACTGGAGCGTAACTGGTTGCCAAAGCCTTCCGCGGTCATGCGTGCGATCTTCTTGTTCGATTGAAGAATTTTCAAGAGTGGAATTCTGGAAGTGTCGATAGCTTATGATCGCGCGCGAGACGCGATTGAATACAAAATGCGCGATAAAACGACGTTGTGTATTGGCTGACAATGGGCATGGTTTGTCGTCCGATACGAGGCGGGGAATGCGAGAAATGCGCGACGTGAAATAACGCGGATTTCAGAAGAGATACGGAGGAATTTCCTATTTCACATCGTTTGTCACATCGCCGTACTCCTTTCGCAATAACTCCCTCGCATTGCAGCTGCCAATTTAGAATTTTAATTTATTTGCTTCATAAATAATTTTTCGATTCGCAGTGTATTTGTCTGATTAAAGATCTTTTCAACGAACCTTCAGATCTTTATGTCCCCATTATTGTATTAATTAATTAGAACGCAGCATTATTTTGTCGTTTTAAAAAATTCAACGTTCTCTTTTGTAGAAAAAATCAACTTTATGTTGCACATTTGATAGTTTATTATTGATGATCTAATTAAGAAGAGAGTGACTTTTATAGATAAAAATTCCAATATTTTTAATTTATTATTTCTTAAAAATTATTTTTTTGTAAAAAATATATATTTGACTTTTATATAAAATCTATCTTTCCAGTTTTATATCGGTATGCCACGACGTGCCGTAGTCAAATATATGCCAATAACGAATTCCTGTATGTGATCGTAAAAAGATTACACATCGCAGAAATATTTCCTTACATATTGTAGCCATGTGTAACATTTGTATATTGTTACCGTTGTTCTAGAAATATACAAAGGAATAGAAACTAGTCAGCGTTGGGCTTGTGTGCCGAATGGAATAATTTCATGCATTAATCAAGCGGCCGCAATTGCGCCGCGCGTTACACTGCACCTGCATACGTGTAACTAGAGAATTCCGGCTTCAATTGCAGGGTTTGTTCTCGAGAATTACGTTCCGCGAGCCACTCTTCGTCGGCGGGCCAGGAAATACGACCGGTTTGGAGCGACTTCCGGTGAGGACCGGATTTAAGGGTTGCATCCGGCATTTGGAGGCGAACGAGCACCACTATCGCTTTCCATTGGCACCACAGGGCGACGCCGCGAACGGATTCGACGTCGGTGAGTACAGTATCATGCAACTTCCGGTCTCAGCGCTTTTCGTTGAATCGAAGTTCTTCTCGCCTAATCGCGAAATCCTCTCGTAATCGATTTTTTGAGCGAGAATTGAGCACCGAAATAATTTCAGCGATTTTATATCGGTACTTTATCACAAAAATAGAATATTAAAAAGTTTTAATTAATAATATCAGTATTGAATAATTTAAATATTCAATATAAGATGCTTAATATATAAAATTAATACCGATTTTAAATCGATATATTATTGAAATTCTTATAATATTGAATATTAAAATATAATGCTATTAAATGATTATTATTATTTCCGGCTTATGCAAGAATAAAATCGTTATCTATAAAAAACGTTCCAATTTTTCTGCACGCCGAAATGTAAAATTAATACATTTCTAATACAAAAGTTTTAAATAAAAATATTTTATGAAAAATTAGTTAATTATAGATATAAACTAAATAATTTCTTTTAGTTTAACACATACAATTTAATCGACACATTCGGTTAAGCGATTCAGTTAATTATCTTCTCCAACAAGTTAAGTGTCTAGATGCGCGTTCGAGACTTCGAGTTACTTGGAGAATCCGTTTCTCACCGCGAAAAAAAAAAAGAAATATATTTGGAGTTAAATCGAGCGAGCGTCGGAGGATTTGCCAACTAAATTCATGTGACACCTGTTGTCCGTTTGCCGATATAGCTGTTAATTCGGTCACCCGGTAACGCCTAGTCGCATCCCGACCGACTAGGCTATGTCTGTAAGGCAGCCAAGTTAAAGTTTATAGTTATTAATTGTTTCAGATATTTGAGCGCCGGTTTTATTCTAGGCTCTGACTTTACAGCCGTCGCACGCGAACACGGAATACATAAATAATAATAATTCTGTCACACGCGCGAGTCGCTTTATTATTTCGTTGTTTGCACGCTGATAAACGTCGTGCTAGTTTCGTGCTACATTTTAGTTCGCTCTCTTTCACACGGTGAGTGATTTATTCTGAAAAAATCTGCATTGCGTTATTGTGCAAGTTACAATACTTACATAAATCATTTAACAAAAATGAAAATAATCCACTGCATTAAAAAAGATGAATTCAGTGTGTAGTTGTTGAATAGCAAATGCTTGTCGTATCAGTGCTGAAATATTATTGACAGCATTTTATTAAATCTTTATCGTATAAATAACACATTGCACAAATGGATATTTGTATACAATTTATAGATTCAAAAATAAAAATGAAATTCTACCACGGCGATAAAGTAACGTGCAACAAGAAGACAGTGAAAAATTAAAAAACAAAAAGAAATTAGAAAAATCAATTGGGAAAAGTGGAACAATAAAGTTCGATAAATTAAAATGAAAAGAAATATAATACCTACTTCGCACAAAGAGTGAAGAATACTTCAACACAAACCTGTAACACATTATTCTTTGCTACAGCTAATGATTGATTTTGAAGAAAAGCAATAACGAAACACAGTTTTATAATATTTCTTTAATTACTTTGAAATGAAAATATAAAAAAAGTTAAATGAAAATTTTTATTATTTTATTTTCAAGAATTTATTTTTTTAAGTTTATTAAAAATTCTTGTTTGTGTTTTTTTTTATGGATATTACACATTGTTTTATGGATTATATAAAATATTGTGATAATTTTTATTTCACTTTTTCCAACATAATAACAATTTTTTAATTTTAAACGTAATAGAATAAATCCTCCCAATTGTTTTGTATAAATGTTATACAATTCAGAGGATTTACTTTCTCTCTAATACCCATTTTTTTATCCGCAACAAACAATAGAAATTGAACTACTCTACACGTGTGTAGTTTCAAATTTTTCGGGGTGTATAGTTTGCGGAACTTTGTTAAAAAAAAATCTGAAACTCTGCGATATGTGGAAGCAATATACATGCTCTGCTTAATTACGCCGGAAATGATACGAATGCGCGGAACGGTTGTAATCGACGAAGAGCGAAGAGGAGAATACGTATATCGGACAAGATTATGATTATCGCGAGTAATTATCATCGTTATCGTTGTCGGAGTGTCGGTAATTAATTGTCAACATTTGGGGGGAAGTCGTTTAGGTCCGGCTGTGCATCAGCTGTGCTCCGTATGTCGCATTAATTACCTCTGAGTAATGGACGTCCGTCAGGTATTTATATCACGATACAACCGAATGCTATCTCTGTTTTGTAACATCGGGCGCACCATTGTCCACAATGTAATGCGGATCATAATTTAGATATTTGCAGTCAATTATGTCTGAAATAACTGCGCGATAAAGATGAAGATGCAATGTGAACTTTTAGTTTTTTTACAATATAAATAATTTTTAGACAATATATGTTCAAAATAATGTTCTGAAAAAAAGCAGACACCAATCTAAAGCTGAAAAATCGGTTTTTTTATTTATAAAAATAAATATTAATAAATATTTACGAATAATAATGGCTTACAATTAGTATGAAAAACATGAAAGTGGAATAAACATGAGTTTTGTTTTTAATACCTATACTATATAATACGTTTGTAATATGTTAAATAAATTTAATGATAGCGATACTAAAGTATCATTTGCCTGATAAAGTGTTTGCAAAAATGTTTTATAAACTCTTTGGTGTATTTTGTTCAATAATTTATCTAATAAAATCTAATTTAAGCTTTTTTCACGAAATATCAAAAATTGAATTTAGAGTTTGTTTTTCGTTCATTCATGGGCAAATAATCCCGTACAAAAGTAATGCATTCAAAATCAGTTGAAGTGCATTGCCAAACGTAACCGGTTAATCGATCATACATTGCACGCATGAAGTACGCTCTTTATCAACGGGCAGCATTAATTATCATAGATCAATCGTTACTATCGAGGCATCATTATGCAAATTTGCAGAGTACGAGTTGAAGTAAAGTTCGTTTTTACTCGCAACGCAAATATCAACGTGTATAAACATTGTGCGTAATTAATACATTTAATTTAGAGCTTATACCTGTAATTAATTGTTTTTATGATTACCACTGTTTTTGAAAACATGCAATGATATCAGAAATTGAAAAAAGTGAAAAGCAACATTAATATCGAAGTTTATTGATTCGACAACAACACTTTCGGCCGAAAGGATTGAATTATGAGTTAACTACTACAGAATGACGCATGATCTCGTTAATATTTAAAACATCAATTAACGATTAATAATTCATTGTATTTTAAATTAATTATTCTGTTAGCTATTATTACAGTTTGTTATTCTCGGCTTGCGACTATCGATCTGTTACAATGACGCATGAGATAGATAAGACGAGCCGGGTCGAAAGTTACTTTTCGATTCGGCGAACGTTTGCCGTACAGAGAGACCCTTGAAAAGATAACACCCGTTAGATTGGAAAACTTCGGAAAGAGTTCGAGAACCCCAGCACTTTGCGAAAACGAATAACCGACCGGCAGTAAAAATCGTCCGAGTCATTCATTATTGCGAGATCACTATCGGCGCGATCTTTAAGGTTTCGTCTCAGGTGCGCGGAAATGTTCCGATATAGAAACTTAAATCCTCTTTGTTGCACTTCTGCAGTCACCAAATAATTAGCGCGGCTGCAACGACCAGGATATTTCTTAAATTTTTATCTGCAAGAAATTGAAAAAATCAAAATTGATTCAACGAATAAATCTCGTTTCCTTTTTTCTTTCAGAAGCTATTGTCATATTTTATCATACGTAATATCTGCAATATACGAAAACTTGAAAGAGAAGCTTGTTAACATGTGATAATTTGTTTCGCAACGCGATAACGCGAGTATAAAATACGAGTGAAAGCTAGTGACGCGAGAAACATACACTGTTAAATATTATATTTCACAACAGGGAAGTCGCGTACTTCCGGCCGGTCGTGCCGGCACGTCGTAAAGCTCAAGCGTTGAACGTTACATCGCGGGATCGCCGACGTCGCGCGGACGTCGCGCGCGCGCAAAAAAAAAAAAATCCCCGCCGTCAATGCTCGCGCGCGCCAAATGATATCGTCGAAAATACGATGAGGCGGAAGAGATTGATACTTCTACGCTCCGATAAATCGGTCGGGACGGCCTGTTGAGGCGCTCGAGCGGTTTTATTGGTTTTATCTCGCGCGCAGTCGAATCGTGTCGAGAGAGAGTCGCAGTCGAGTCGATCCTGTGCGATTCGGCGACTCCCGGCGTCCCGTGTAACTCTCGATTTCGCGCCCCGCCGGAACTTTTATTAAATCGCCTGATTTATTGTCGTTCCAGAGGAGTGTACGGCCGACAGGTGCAGCAAGGTGCCATGTTCCCACGGTGGAAAATGCCTGACGACCGGAGGCGACACGGCTGTCTGTCTCTGCCCGCTCGGCTACACGGGCGATCTCTGCGAGACTCGGGTGGACCTGCAGGTAATCGAATCAATTTTGAAGGAACTATAAGCGCGAACGTTCACCAAGATTATACAGGAGAGAGGCCGTATTACCCGTATTACCGGAACTACGGCGCGATCTCTCTTCCGCTTTGTGCTGCAATTTAGCGCCAGTTAACGAGACCGATCGCCTGCCAAAAGAACGACGGTCAGCTTATTATGAACGGTTCATACACTTTATTGCTTTAATTCGTTTCGGCAATTTTAGAATCTCTTTAGATGAGTATATCGAAGTATAAATATATCGAATATTATTTAAAACTTGGTGTCAACATATGCGCGAAGTTCAAGTTGGACGAATTTGATCGAAATAACAATTCTCTTATACATTCTCTGCGTGTAAGATATAATTGCTCTTCGTAAAGCATTTATATTTTAACGAGGGAAGAAAAATAGAAGGAAGATTTAATTGGAGGAAGAAAATGCGGTTTATAAAAATGAGATCAGCCTAATTACTTCGCCGATAAAAAACGACGAACAAATGCTTCACTCTTGCTTAATCGGTTGCCATCTGGTGTATGTATAGATATTTGTGAGCTTAAGTCTAATTTTAAGCAGCAATTTGCTGGTACCAAGTGAATATTGAGCAACACGCCGTTTTCCCGTTTAGCAATAACATTTGCAATGTTGTTTTTAGTCGACGCTTTAGAAATCTCTCTTCATACAAATTTCATCATTTTATGTTTACAACATTTTAATATTTTTTATACACCAGCTTCACAAAATATTTTGCTTTCTCGAACTTAAAGTGATTTTTACGATAGAGTCGTGTAAAAATAATGGAAGATTAGGGATAAGGAAAATAATGCTTCAAAATTGCAAGATTGAGATAAATAGCATTTTGATGTTTCTAAGAAGATGTTTCTAAATAATCTTGAAGCTTCACTGAACAAGCAGCGAGCCACGGTTCGCGAATCCGAACACGACTTACAACGTGGAAATGCTGCAATAACACGCTGGCATTCGTGCCGGCGCATTTGTGTCACGTTGTGCTGCGTTACGATATTCGGTCTTCGCACATACGGCATTACACAATGACGATTCGTCGATTCGCACAATGCTACTCATGAAGCCGTGCATCGAAAACGTGTTCCCAAAACTAAATCCGTCGACAAAATTTATTTGACTTTTAATTGCCGAATTGTTTGCCGTTGTTTTCAAACTTAAAAATCAATTTCTTGAAATTTTTCGCTCGCTCGCGACTAATTTTAAAAACAATTTTACGATCTCAATTTCGAGAACATTGACATTTGCAACGGGGCACATGCAATATAGGTCATCCTCTCTACGTGCAAATGATATTGCATCCACGCTTGCGGATGCGCAGACAGCGAGCCTGTTAACATCGCATCAGACGCGACGTTGTTACGTTATGCCGGCACGTTACGAGGCTTCGTTGATCGTACACGCGGCTTACGTTACCTAAGACCCGATTGCACCGACAACGCGAATTGAATAAAGTTGACTTAGGCTTTCCAGATTAGGCTCGCATCCATCAACGAAGAAACGTTTGTCAAATCTTCCGTGTTAAATCTTTCTTGATAGATTGCGTCCCTTCTCGATAGTTTCACCTGCGTCACGGCATTAATATATTCCTGTAGAAAAAAATAAATACAGCACTAAAACTTTCTCGTATTTTGCGCCATTTTACGGCACAGTTTATATTATTGTAATTTATTCAGTTTGTCGCATTATTTTCGCATAAAATGCCGTTGCAACCCGCTACACTGTAGCATTAGTATTAAAAAAAAGCCCATGAATATTCATTGTCCCGTTGCGTCAATCCTGTGAATGCATTGTCTCAAAATGCGACACTGCGTGCGGGAATCGATCGTGTCCCTTCGTAAATGACGCGTTTATCCGCGCAATAAGCGCGGGTCGACCGCAAATAATTAACACTTGCCTCGTTAACGAGGCGGCTTAAACGAGTGGAAAGACATGATTCGCGCGTTGGCATGCAACGTACGTGTCTAACGCACATCGTACATGCAAACATTCCAAATCGAGCGTTGCCTGTCGAGATTCTCGCAATTTATACCAAGTGACTTAATGGAGCGAACGCGGCCGCATTTGCCGGAAGTCACCGTATGCGGCTCGTCCGGGTGTGCGCTCACAGTTACTCGCGGATTATGCATGGTTATATGCGATATCGATTATGGCAATGGCGGAAGACGGAGAGAGATATATATTCGGCTCGGCGCGATGAAATTGGTATCGGCATTCGACCGATATTACTTCCGGCGCGACGTGAAATGACACTGAATACCAAGCTATAAAGATACATTCACATGCATCAATAACGACTCAGCGTTGCGTCGATAATTCGGAGTTGCTGGCGACATTAAGTCGATTTACAAAGACTGTTTGAATCATTGTATTTACTAATATCTAGACGACATCATTTATAAATTGAGAATTACACTCTTTGACACTTGTATAAAGAGTACCGTTTATTATTCCAACTCAAAATTGGACTTTTCAAGATAAATAAATATAGCTAAATATATTAAAATTTATTAATTGATATTAAATATGTTAAATAATTTATATTCACTGTTCGTAAAACTTAACAGTTGTGTGAAAGTTCAGATTTGCCAAAAATGTAGATTTTGCTTTGATTCAAAATTCTTACATTTTATATAGAGATAGTTTTCGTGCTTAATTCTTATTCATAAACTTTAAAGTAATTTTTATTAATAATTATAATACACACGTATATCTATTTTCTCTACAGAAATTCCCTTTTCTCAAAAAAGCTCGAAATTTCTTAGAAATTATGATAACATAATAATAAATCAAAAGTAGCATATTGAAGTTGCAGGTACCATCATTTTTTATGTACATTGCGTTTTGTGCGCAAGAAAAAACTTTGGTGAAGAGATGTATCTTTCGCAGATGGATCGTCGCGTTTCCGATCTCGAAATCAGAACATAAACTAGCTCGAGAAACGACCATAAAGGGCTCCAGTTAACGAGTATCACTTCAAACTCGAAACTCGTTCTCGAACTTTGGTCTCTCGCCCAACCGTTCCCGGAGTTTAATTCCATTAACGTACAAGCGGAAGAGGTATAGCCATAATAACCAAATGTCGCCGGAATATTGTTGTAATTTACAATGACGACTATTTTTACGACATCCGCCGGAAAACGCCACCGGACGTCGGACTAAAATACTAGTGTCGAAGAAAAACTAAACGACTCAGACGACTACATGCTTTTATTGCAATACGTGTGGCACATTTTATTGGCTCGTTCGCGCAAGACGTGAAGGATAATGTTCTTCGTATGAAATAAATATTTGATACATTTTTTTCTCGGAATGTATAAAATAAAAATAAATGTTTAGTCTACTTGCGGATAAACGCATTGCGATGTAGAAAATGATACTTTCGATTTATCGTCAATCAAAATTGAGATGAATATAAAAAGCACAATAATATACAATATAAAGTTTTTAAAGCTTGTTCATTGCATCTTATAGATCAGTGATTCTAAAAAAATTAGCATAATGCCGTAGCATAACAGAACCTTTTATTATACAATTTATTTTACTTAAACGTTACCAAACATGCGGGGAAAAAATCCGGTAATGTATTTTGTACTACAAATGTTTAAAAACAATTTTTGAATTTATGATTGCAATTTTCTGAAAATTATAATCTTCTTTCCCTATTCATATGCTACTTGGACAAAGTGGTTTCGGTGCTAAAGCGAAGGAACGCGCACGAGGCTCTTCCGGAAATTACATATCCAACTGAAGGATGTATTGCATTACTCTTAGACATGAAATTATATGAATAAAAAGTGAAAAATGGGAAATGCGTAATATAATAAAAAATATACCACAAAGAAATCGGGAAACGTTGAATTTTTTAAAGGTTGTTATTAAAATTATTATTTTTATATTGAAGTCACTCCGTAATGAAGTAAAATGACAAAATAAAATATATGTTAAAAATAATATTAATTAATTATTTTAATATTGACATGTATAAAATAAAATGGTTATCGTAATTATCGTTAATCGCGTTATTAGGCAATCTTTAGTTTGCAACTGTATATTAAAATTTTTATAATCCAATATTATTCAGAATCGATTTATCTATTATTAACATCAAGTAATATTCGAATTACGTGAAAAATAAATGCAGCACACATCATATATTATTTATCGTTAAAATACCGGATATAATTAAAATTTCAGTGCTCTGAACGTAAGCGTGGAAGGGAAAAACATTTCCCTCAAAAACAACAACATAGAATCAGCGAAGCATTCAAAGGTCAAACAGTCTTGGGAAAAAAAAAATGATGCTCGGTGATGAAACAACATATTTTAATAATGTTTGTAATAACCGACAAAGGTCGATGATGTTTTACTCGATAAAGCAGGGCGACATTTCGGAGTACGAAACGGTCTCGTAAAAAATTTGTGAACCTATCAACGGTCTTTGCGCGCCGGAGAGTGCCCGTGAACATCAGGACGACATAAGCCGGACAGAAGGACGATGTCGTGAGCGGGGCGAGAAAGGGTGTTCCCCCAGGGATCTTACGAGTTGCTGGTCTTTCGCATAATACAAGGTTACTCCTCTACTGGCTCTCCCGCGGGAGCTTCTTATCACCGGGACATAGCTTTCACGTAGCGGGGAAAAAGGAAAGGAGGCCAACGGGCGCGTAGGCGTCGCGCGGTATATAACTGGAAATTTCTTAAAGGAGCATATCCGACGCGCGTTCGACTTAACGACGCACCGTCAGGATCCCTTCCGCTCTGTCGTAATTAATTTACGGCCGCTCCTCTCGCGCCGGACCCGTGCGAAAGAGATCCGTTCGCGCTTTCGTCCCTTTGATTTTTGCGAATTTCGTCCTCGCGTCACTCGACGAAAACTATACCGAAGAGCGGCACTTTGAGCGTTCGGATGAAGAAATTGAATGAGTCTGAGGCGAAATGTAAAGGATATTCGTAATATAATGTTCTCCCTTATGCATTATAAATAGCGTGCTCGTAAATTATAATATTTCTGTAAAAATATTGCAACATGAATAATTTTCAAGCTAAGTAATTAAACTGCAAAGGCATTTTGATCTAAAAAAATGCAGGCGGAAAACAAAACTTTATTTTAAAATTATTTTCAAACAGAATCCTTTATTTTCAAATCATTTTGAAGTAGAAATTAAACAGATTTTTTACTTAAAAAAATTAAATGCAGTTTGCCTTCCGTAAATAATTAAACGTATTTTCCCAGTCACGAGTGAAAGCTTTCATTTATTCGAAAAGGAAATCTTTGAAATATTTATGCAGAGAGAAGATTTCTTTCATGAATCATAGTTAGAAACATGTTTATAATTAAGTGAGCGCCGGGCAGCAAACGTGTTAACATTTTCTACTTGCCGCATTCTAGTTTAAAATTTTAGACTGTGAGAAAGAATAATTGTGTTTCCTTCTTTCACGTATATGGTTAGTACATTTTTAATGTATATTAGATTTGCGCTTGTTCTTACCGGTGAAATAAAAAGTATGACAAAATTTTTATACGGAAATCAAATTAAGGTGAAAATTCGCGAGGCTTTGATGGCAAAAAAAAATATATATTATCCGTCTCACTCTTATCTACATTCGTAAGTAAATGCACGTCGCACGTTGATATTTTCTAGAGTCTCACGAAACGGGCACCATATAATTCGCCGAAGGTTCCCGCGCGCGAGCGCTTACGTTTTGCGCTTTATCTTGAGAGGTAACTGACGTACAAACAATTACCAGGCAGTCTCATTAAGGCGGAAGGCGGCCCGCTTCGACCTCTTACTGCTCTTAAGGCACTTGAATGCAGCTATATCAAGGATTATCCGAGACAGTGACATACAGCGTATTTGCATTTCGATTTACGAAAAGCACAAAATCCCGCGCCGACCGTAAATTAAATAACAACAGCTGTTCTGAGAGTTTCTCTACTTTATGCTTGACGATGGGAAGAATTATTACAGTTCCGCGAGGGAAACGTGCATGCGAGAGACCAAACGTGCGCGCTTGTAATAACAAGAAATATATTGCCTAAATATATCACAGCTTTAAAATTGTTATGAGTGAAGCGGCAACTATCCATCTATCTCCAGTACTCGCGTACAAACGATTCCAGATAAGAAGCGCTTTTTTGAAATAAAAGGGATTTTTTTCCACGCGAAATTTATTTCTGATTATAATTACAAATGTAGAGTGTGAAAATTGCTTGGATAGAACACATCAAAATAATTGAATACATTGATGAATTGAGATATTCAATTGAATAGATTATTTCTTTTAATATAATAGATAGACTGACTCAATTTCGGCGAGTTAAACATGAATATTATTTAAAAATGTATGAATTTTCTTTAATTATCAGATGAGACTCTTCTATAATTTATAATCTACCATTTTATACTTTACATAAATATATACACATTTACATATCATGATAAGAGCATACGTAGTGTGCATAATCGTGTAGAGGACGCGAAACGCAGAAAAACCGTTTTTACCGCATGTCTCTACGTCAATTTTTTGCCAAGTTATAGCGTTTTGAAGATCCGACGCGCGAGTGTGCTATTTATACGCGGTGGAATGCGGAAATACGGAAGTTCGACGCGTCTGCCGCATTTTTTAGCGCGTGGGTGGTGCGAATCTAGATCAGCTATTAATAGCACGTAACAGTAGGTCAATGACCAGATGGTGGTGGTGGTAATAAGAGGCTCACGTGATTGCATCGTCGCCTTGCATAGTCCACTTCGTCCCTCTGTCGGGATTATGGAAAAACATGATTGAAAATCGATAAAACTGTCAATATCATCGCGCCAAAAAGTTGTAGTGGATAGCGTTGGACAAGTTTCGCTTGAAAACTACGATTCCAACACTTCTGGTAGGACTAGAATCATTTATCCCGCATCATAAATGTGAATAGGTTCATTAATTCATTACGAAAATCAAATTAACCCTTTTGGATGCACAGCATAACGAAGCGCAAAGTTGCTATCGGCCGACGCGCCAAATTTATAGGTTAGATTAGTAGATATGCATACACATTTTGCAGTCGCAATGTCCTGTGCCCTGTGTCCTACGACCACATGAGCATATTTCGGATGGCTTAAATATACACATGCCTTTTGTACCGAAAGGATTAAAGAAAGACTATTATATTCTTTGTTAAAGAAAATCTCACATCTTTCTCAAAGACGCAGTATGACATTCTCAATTCTATTATAATAATTTTGTTTGGAAAATTATCTGTAATTGTGTATCTTGAATATACAATCGGTTAAATTATTTGATATTTGTTCGAACAGAAATAATTATCATTCATCATCTCGACGACGTTTATTCGTCCAAATATTTTTGCAGTGCACGATTCGTAATAAGATTTAGCAATAGTAAAATTGCTGAGAAATTTCTAAAATTCTTTCTTTATTCTCCACAATCTACATTTAGTTCAGTGAAGAGTTTTACTGTTACAATTTAATTACGTCTTCTTACGGAATATCGTACTTACGAATGTGATAAACGTTAAAGTTCCTCATGTTCTTCAACGAAGTAGCTATAAATTATCGCGACAATTTCCTTCCTGAATTTACATTATCATTCACGGTACACGCGAGTCGTCGTGATATTAACGTTTATTACGAGGAATCCTATTAACATAGAAATATTTCCGAATTTAGTTAGGGAAATACACGAAAATAATAGACATCTGTAAAATGCGCGAGCCATTTATGTTTCTTTTATATTTTTCTTTTGTGCGCTACTTTTTAAATTACGTTGGAAACTTTTGCCTGAATAGAAAGGTAGATTTGAATTCAATCGACATCGGTCATTTCTATTTGTAAGAGATAAATTCCTCATTCTCTGATTCCAATTCAGAGCATTTTGGACTCTACTATCTACAGAATTCTTAACCAATATGGAATCGACTTTTCTGAACAAAAGCATCGAGAAAAACAATAGTTTTGAACAAGAAGTAAAAGATGGTTTGGAAATTACGAATATTCATAAGTATGAGCAATTAGTGAAACATTATTCTCTTTATTCAATTCTATGCAAACTTTAGTAACTGAATAATTAACGAATCGGTAACAAGAATATATTTGATGTAAAATGTCGAAAAACCGCGAATAAATAACTATCTCTTGCCACATGTAAAAAAATCGACTGTAAACCGATCGAAGGGAACTAACTCGCGCTAACTGTGAAACATTGCTGTTTTTTTTCCTCCATTCTACCGGAGTTTAAAAAAAAACACACACATACACACACGTAGACGAGAAGTAACAAATACGATGTATTTGCCGGTCTCCAATGGCAGGCGATTAAGGATGAGGTCGGGCAAAAAGCAGGGGATGCATTTGCGCCCGGTAACGACATTTCCATGCAATCTCAGACCGCACGATGTTTTATTCCCGCAGGTTCCATCCTTCAACGGATCCTCTTACCTACGTTATCCGGGATTGGCGGACACGTCGCTGTCGTGGCTGGAATTGTCCGTCACGTTGAAACCGACCGCGTCGGATGGCGTGATACTCTACAACGGCCATCACAGCGACGCCACCGGTGACTTTATTGCGCTCTATCTGTCCTCGGGGCACGTGCAGTTCACCTTCGACCTCGGAACAGGACCTGCCACTTTGAGGTAAGCCGATGGTCCCTGCCGACGAAGTTCCGCGGGCGATTCCACGTCGCGACGGAAACAGGCGAGAATCCACCCCCGAGCCGTACCGGAGAGCTACGCGATAGACGTATTCGTTACTCGCGGCACGCCGCGCGCCGCTCGCGGCGCTGCATCAACGGGGCGATAATTGCATCGTTTGCGTATGCAGGCCGTCAGACAATCCGCGTTAATTAAACCGACACCCGTATCGATATCGCGCGCGTCCGCGTGACGCAGAGGCTTTTTGCGCCGTTGTTTTTGCGAAGGGAACGGAACGTTAATGCGCGCTAATGCTGATTGTTCGGATCGACTTAATCTGTTTGCAGTGATTAATGGCGAATGAGATTATTGTTGAACGAAATTGATCAAAAGCTGCGATTGCTTCCTTGGATAAACGATGAAAATGTTTAGCTAATGGTTGCCGTTGTGTTTTTTAAACGTCAATTACCATTATATAGATTTTGGAAGATAAAAAATGCAAACTTGGACGCTCTAGATTCATGTTTAACGCGGAATGAAGCTTTTATAGATGTTTTGCAGAACATAATGAGCGCTGATGTTAATTTGAATCTATTTAATTTGTTGTAATAATTAACATAAATTACTATTAAGTAAAATCGGTCAGCTTTTTTTGGATAATTATTCAAGTATCGCGTTCAAATGTTTTCAATTATTAAATAACAAATAGCAAAATAGTATTTTTTAACATTGTCGTTGTTTTAGATAAAGTCTTAAATTATGAATACATGAATCATAATTATTTTAACACAAGATATACGGTTGCATTATTTAAATAGCACTATATAAGAGAGATTCGGAAAGATGTTATGAATTTATGAAATGCTTCGTATTCACATTCAGACGACTTGAATATCTGACTGCTTTTCTATTCCGTCGAATAAAATCTGAATATTGGAGTATCCGTTTACTTCACAATCGAATGAAAATTTCAAGTAAACCCATAATCCGAAGAAACATCACGTTAATTTCGCCGCAGCGCATCTTGTTTGCACTAGCAAGCAAACACTGTACATTCAATCATACGTCATCTCTCGTGTAAACGCATTATTATATTTATTCATATACATACAATGCGTTTCCATTATCAGATACAACTGTTCGTTAGATTTTCCGTCGCCCGGCAACGTTTATACGCTATTTACAATTTCGTTCGCCGGGCAATGAATCGCACGTGAAAATACAACATCGTCTTTTCTCATCGAATAAAAAGCGACCGCCACGAAACTCGGACGTAAAAAAGAAAAAAAACGACGCGCGTTATTACGCGCACCATTAAACAGGGATATTTAACTCCGCGTCGGACAGAAAAAAGGCAGTTAACAAGCGGACCCCGGGACTCGCGAGCGCGCCGTATCTTTTATCTTTCGTAATAGCGCCAGGCGAAAAATCCAATATGAAAATTTCCGACTCCGTCTCTGGGCTCCTTTATTAATTAGCAATTTACTTCCCGCTTACGATCCCACGGATCTCTCTCTTACACTTGTCCCCTCTCCTTCCTCCTCCACCCTTTCGGTCCTCCTCCTCGCGATTCGACATTAATTAGACGAGAATTTCTTCCGTCGGAGTCCTCTTCGTGCCAGCTGCGCAGTCTGCGAAGGAGAAACCATTGTCTACGAAACCAGCGCCGACTTTTCTCGCGAAAATTCAAATTGAATGATCCGACGACTCCGCGCGACGTGAAGTTTCCCCAGATACGTGAGCACGCGAATTTTCCCCGCACGATCGTAGGAAAATTCCAGACGGACGCGACCGTCTGGCTGGCGCTGTCTCCCGGGCATCGTTGCGAAATCAAATCGATGGAGCGTCCGTCAATATCGAGTTAACGTCGATTATAATTGTAGACGCGGTGAATAGAGCGCACGTCGCGTTAATTGCTTCTCGCGCGCACGCGACGAAAGGTGCCGCTTCAATTTCGCCGGAGCGCGAACCTCATTTCGCCATTTTTTGGCGCTAACGCGTTTTTCGCGGATGTGCTTCGTTTCGACGAAAGTAGCTCCGGGCGGAGCGCTTTTTGCCAATGTTAGATTTCCAGGAAAAGGTAACTATGTAAAAATACAATATATATACATATCCTGCAAAATTGAAGTACAAACCCGCCGAAAAAGTGATTTCTCGTGAAAAAATAAGTAGAAAATATGGAATGAATTTTTCTCATGCGAGACTTCATTCTCGAAAAAAATTGGATTGTACAGGGGGAAAAAAAATCGGGAAAAAAGCAATATCTTCTCTCTTCTTCAAGCTTGGATGTTCTTCAAGAACCATGCATCATACCGGCATCGTCAAGGCAGAAGGAGTCGTATCATCTCTTACGCTTTACTTCCTTGCTCAAAATTTTTGCAACGTGTATGAAGAAGATAAAGGAAGATTAGAGTAAAATATGTTCGCGGACAAAGTAATACAGACGCATACGGACGCATACAAAAAAGAAATATGTACACAGAAGTGTATATAAATTATGTTCCCAAGCTTAAAAAAATAATTATCGCAAAAATAGTTCAACTAATTTGTTCGCGAAACAATAAGCTTTTATTCAGAAACCGATAAAAAAGACTAGAATATAACTTTCTGAAAAATGTAGAAAAATATATTTGAAAAAGTATTCTTTATGTAATTGTGATTTAGAATGAAAAATGACGTTTTCGCTCTTCGTTTTGCTGCGATTTTATGCAGCCATACGGTTACCTCAACTTCTTTCTGAAATGAATTAGAGTGACCTGAAAAACAGGTCAGCGCTGACCAGGAGACCGCGCTTTATCACGACTCGTAACTTACACGCACGGATTCGTACCTACTAATTAGAAAACTTTTTCTCCCTCACTCCGTAACAAAATTTTCAGAATCCGCAAAACACCCCGCAGTCCTTCCGTGTGGTGGATGATATTGCATTTTGAGTGTGCCGTCTGCATTATCGTTTCAGAAGCGAAAATCCAATTCGTCTCGGCAAATGGGTCGAAGTTCGGGTATCCAGGACAGGTCGTTTGGCATCCTTAGAAGTTGAAGATGATCCGGCCCAGGAAATCTTGGCGCCCGGAGCGTTCACGCAATTATCCTTACCGTTGAACCTTTACTTGGGCGGCGCGCCGTCGTCCGACATGTACTCGCCAAAGATGAAAACTACGGCCAGCTTCGTCGGCTGCATTCAGACGATCGTGCTGAATAATCGCGAGGTAAGAACGTCGGGGATTATACAGGCTGCGCCGAAGTTATGCCGTAGATAATGCCGCCGGTCGGAGTTTGAGCCTTGCTGGTCTGCCAGATAAGACGTTGAAACTCTCGGTTAAATTATCTCAATTTCAATCCCAATCATTACTCCTGGAATTTTATAAGCGAGAAGATACAGATATGCGACTTGCATCTGTAACTACAACAGACGAGAAGAAAGTCAGTAAATGATCGATATTTGACAAGATTTATAAACGGTGAGATTAAAATATCTCTGTAGAATAAAAAATTAGTTCAAATCAGTAACAAGGCTTCGATTTATTAAAAGCTTTCTAATTTTGCCACAAAAAAATATTGAATTTTCTTTCTCTACATTTCTGATACAAAAAAAAAGTGATAATAAATTGATCGATATCTGATTTTTTAATTTTTTTTTTTTAACAACGTGAATAAATAAAATGCAACTATGGCTGCTTTTTTAATCGGATATTGACCTTCTTTTTTTTAAATGAAATATTTCAATCAGTGTAAAGGGATATGTTTTCGGCCTTACATTCTCTTGTTCAAATTTCCTGCAATTACTGCAATTTACATTGCTACAAAGTGTAATTATTATCATTGCTGCTGCATGATTATGATTTCGTGTTGCAGGTGGGCATTCTAGCTGAAGCACTGGGCGGAGTGAACGTGGGCAATTGCGGGCACGCGTGCGAAGCCAGACCCTGCGGCGATGCGGAGTGCCGGCCTCTTCGCGAGCGATTTACTTGCCGCTGCCGCCCGGGCGTACCGCATCCCTGTCCGGCGCCAGACGATTATACACCGCTGGTTCCGCCACCGGTGAGAACTAACAGCGCCGTGACATCAGTGAGATACGAGAGGGCTGTACCCAGTTTCACCGGCAGTGAGAGCTATCTACATTATAACGACGCCGACACAATGAAAAGGTGCTTGATACGAAAATAAGCGATAGCACACGCAGATTAGCAGCCGACTTTCGCAATTCTGTATTAAACATTTCAAACGCAGTAACGATTATTATTATAACGTTAAGAGTTAAATCACAATTATTTTTATTTTTTTTAAATCACATAATTTTTTTTTAATTTTAAATTTAAACTAAGAGGTAATTCTAGATAATAGGTAGCTTTTTCGAGCTCGTACGTGAAGAATTACTTTCATTTTTTGCAACATACGCGTAAAATTATTACACAAAATTATAATGTAAAACGCTTTGTGTACGAACTATGTATATGCATAAACTGGCGCATTTCCTGTGTGCCAGTGATCCGTTTTTTTTTTTTTTTTTTTTTGCAACTTAAAAATACTGTTGGCTCGTCCTTTGACACTTTATTAATACACATGCGAAATAATCGGCAGCACGTAAAAGTTTGGTAAATGTCAAAGCGGCATGTCGGCGGCGCGGACTTTGAGAAGCGAGCGGGGCGGTAAACAGCGTTACACGTTGCGCTACACAATCGCTCCTTGACCCGTTTAATCGAGCGCGTTGGCTTATCGAGCGTCATCCCGCATCCGTCACACACTGACAAGTGAGCGATATCTGACAGGGAATAATACATATTTTATTAAGTAAATTTTTCATTTACATTTAATTGCATCACTGATACGCGGTGGACTTTTATTTCTCGTTGAAGTATGAGAAAAAAAAAAAGTTAACACGCAGATGCGTCAAATACAAAACTAAAAAGGTATCTTTTATCATTTATTTATTTGCTTTGATTATTCTAACATAATTCTTAATCTCCTCTGGCGCGAATAAGAAAAAATACGGTTAAAATAAATTCTCTCCCGTTGGATCGATCTATTCTCATTGTGCGTCATCGCGCTTATAATAATAATCTTGACGCTTACAGGATAATCAGCTATAGGGTGGACATCAACATGAGATTCCGCGCGAGCAGCAGCAGCGGCTTGCTACTGTGGAGCGGCCGCCAGTCGGATCCTCAGGAACAAAGGGACGAGAATGACGATTTTCTCGCCCTCGGCCTGGATCACGGCTACCTCACTCTCGCGTATAATTTGGGTTCCGGTGAGGCCGTGCTGCGGTACAATCTCACGCGATTGGATGACGATCTGTGGCATCGCATCAGGGCCGTTAGGTGAGAACAAACACTTCACGCGCCTCGTTACACGACTCACCCTTCCGCGTGTGTGCTTATTTTCGTCATATTTATTTATTTAACATATCGATCGGCGCACACGAAGGGAGGAGACATTAAAGGACGCGACGCTAAATATATAAAGGAATATAATTATCACTTGTATTGCCACACATTTTATATCGATAAAATGCAAAATAATATTCACGCGTGAGCTTTTTTTTTTTAATTAAAAAAAAACAACACTCACACAGATGCGTCAAATGCAAGACTAAAAAAGGAATCTTTATTACCCATATATTGCTTTAGTTATTTTAACGTAATTTAAAAAGCCATAGCACTCTGTAATACAATTTTAATTAAGTAAAACCGAATTAAAATCTGTCAAAGAATTTGCGGTCAAAGGAAACGTATGATGATAAGCGTGATGTATTGCGTGCAAACGCCGTCCTATCTCCGATCTTCCAAATAGCAATGGCTCGAGGGTATTTGAAATATGGCGCTTCCGAATATGAGGAGGCACAATATTTTTGTGAACATTCACGTATTATATCTTAACGTATATTTAGTAGTAAATATACGTAAATATACGAGAGTAAATAAAAATGAAATACCAGCGTCCACCTTTTTATCGAGTAAATTACTTTTCATTAAAAACGACGACGAGGATAATGTTTATTCTACTCCACATTCGAAATGGATCATTACGTTGAATAACACGAACTTCTTTTCTAGAAACGAGCAATGGGCGTCTCTCGTGGTGGATAGCGGTACCGGTGTCTCAGCCTCCTCCCCGGGGCAGCTGAGACAATTGAACACTGATACTGGTCTTTATGTTGGTGAGTGCGGTATATTATAGTATTAGTATTTATATCTTGCCAATCTAAATTAATCTTGCAATCTTAAAGCATCAACTCCCTTTCAATATTCCATGCGAAGCTCCACAAATTTATTTTACACTTTTGCAGAAAAGATATTAATCAAACTTTTGTACAAATAAAAATTGCAATTATCTTTATTGACGCTTCGTGGCTTTTTTAAAGGAATTTTTATTCGTAAATTTTACTTTGACAAATGCATCGTCTACGCGATACAAAGTGGAAAGATTATTCGTCCGCTTTCGCATTACGGAAAATTGCGCCATACATTTTCGGAATAAACGGAGAAGTCGCGCGACACATACCTTCGCGCGGGAGGATGATTCTTTTCACGGAGACTCGGTTTGTTCTGTCTTGAAGGCGGTGCACCGGACATCGTGAGGACGACGGGCGGCCGGTACACGAAGGGTATCGTGGGTTGCATCAGCGACCTCGTGCTGGACTCGGACTTCTCCGTCGCCCTGTCGTCGCCCGCGCAGGCGACCAACACGCACTCGTGCATCCCCTGAAAGAAAGATATCCGTGCCGTCCGACGTGAGGTGGTGTTGTCGGGTCCATCCCGAAGCTAGGATATGAAAAATTTAAGGATAACGAATCACACACACACACATACACACACAGGACACCGCGGCGTTGTGTAGCCGCGGTATAGAGTGCTCCACACGAAAGTGCATCTGTGTCTCTCGTGCGACCGTGTGTAAATCTGCGCGCGCGCGCGGTTCATCATTTTTGTACAGACTCATCCTTCCACAGGTGGAACTCTCGAGATGAAAAGGGATCGAGCGGTTCGACAAACCGACCATCGTCGTGCGCGGCCATCGAGTGGTAGACGGCTTCACTGTAAATATTACTAGGGCGATCCGAGATACCTATCGCGGAGATGTCTATCGCTTGCCTCGCGGCATTGATCCTTGGCGCTGCGACTTCCTGGCGATCCTGATGGGTCGATCGTAGAATAAGGTTCACTCAAGTTCTATCGGACAAATGAGACGACGAAATGATTTTTCAACGACGACATAATACGTAGTAGTATCGTATAAATCATAAATAGAAAGGTAAGTATTTGATCGGGAATCGTCGTCACAATTGTAACTCACAATTTATTTCATTGTCTGATTTATTCAAGAGTCACGGTTGCTCCGCTTAAGTATGCTTTTCGAGACTTTTCAAGAATTCATAAGATTTTTTTATACAAAAATATAATTAGGAATTAAATATATAATTGGTAAATATTCAATGCAGTGCAAAAAAATAGCATCTATTTCTGATGAAAATTTTTGCGAATTTACACGACAAAGTAACGCTTCAATATACTAAAATATACTAAAATCGATTAAAATAAATAGACGTGACACGTTTTTCTTTTTCGTTTTAGCGTGCTTAAATAATTATTACTAAGTAATTATTCTTTAAAGTTAACGAGATAAAAATGTTCGCGTCAGTCTGCAATCGCCGGTAGCTTTGAACTTATTCTTTTCTCGCTTTATTAAGTCTCGCTATTGGAAATGTTATTAAGAGTCGAACGGAAGTACGAAGTAAACGTAAATCGCACGAAGAAATAGAGAAAGTCGTTCATTATATGCAGCTTTCAACATAATTCATTAATTAAGTAAAATTAATTGATTAATGTCGTGCTATTCTGCGCGAAAATTGCGAGAAGGACTTCTTTAATTTATAGCACTGTCCGTTTTTACAGAATTGCAGTCAAACTGATGCTAACTGTGCTACTTTTTAATCGAGTTTCGCAAATTCAAGACTGCTGAAATTAAATATTAAAAATTGTCGCAATTTTTTTCATTGTTTCGCGAGAAAATAATATCGTGGTAAATTATACACTCTTTGCAATCGTGTCTGTTTCTAAATTGTGCCGAGAGATAAGCTAAAACGCATCGGTTAGTATTAAAATTGGCGGCAATTACGTTCATTTTCGTCCCGTGCCCGGAAAAGTGAAACGCGTCGAAATCAAACTGAAAGTTTCGCCCAGCGTCCATAATTAAACCGCCGCACTATTAATAATTTTAACTTTGCCCATATATATCTGTGTATTAATAGTCGCCTCGCGCGGAAATTGTTTTGTAATTAAATTCGCGCAGATTAGATTTTTGTTCGCAATATAATATACAGTAATAACAATGTCTATTACGGCGATAGTGGAGCCGATAAAGCGACAAGAGTGCGTTATAGTCTGACAATTCTGCAAAATAGGATTTCATCTGAAAACTAATTCTGCAACAAAGCTTAAATTACACGGGGCGCGCGATAATAAGAGAATTCCCGCGGGAATGTGTGTGGCGCATTCGAGGGAAATGGAAGTCGTCGCACCAGGACAATGTTCGGCCGGATATAAAATTCGACGGAGCGCGTCTCGAAGACGGCTTTCGGCCTAATAAGATAAAAAGTATGTAGAGAAAATGCAACCCCTCCGCGTCAATTTTGATTATTCCCTCCGACCGGATGTTACCTTCGACACGAGGTGTCGTTATTTTCGATCCTCACGAGTTTAAAGCGTCCGAGATTATTGAGGAATCCGGAGCGGCGCTGGATGAAATCTCGATTAGAGTGGCGAAATTGAAGAGGAAAGCGTGACAGAGAAATGAATGTTTCTTGAAAATGAGAATTTTACAATATATGGAATTAATTGATCTAGTAATAATAAACTTAATACAATTGTTATCACATGCATATAAAATAACTTACGTTGTTTTAATATTTTTCATACAATTTTTTATATACTTTTTCCAAGTATTTTTTTAATAATGCTTTAAAATTGATTTGCTGTTAAGAGAAACAGAAGCGGCGTTGCAAAATGCTACGTAAATATATTATTAAAAAAAATAGTATCACTAACGTAACGCTAGATATCATTCAGCGTCGATCCGGACGGCGTGTGCTCGTTACTCCTACGAATCACTGCGTACCGCAACTTTTCTAATGCTCTTAGGACTTATCACGCTCTTTTTCTAGCAGCTAAGTCACAAGCGCAGCCACGAGCACGAGTTTTAGTTCTACGACGATATCGAAGTTAACATTGTGATCGATACGAGTAACTACTAAGAAAAATAGGAGAGAGCTATGCCATGGACCAAACACTAACAACCTTTATCGTGTCTATTCTAACGGGAATACATGATACGCAAAATGCAAACCGCGTGCAAAGTGCATATCCTGATGATAATACGGGACTTGCGTCCCTTCGTGAGCGATTTCGTTCAGCGTTGGACGAATTTTGCGAATGATTTGTGAGTCTTCACCGTTTCGTTCCTATAATTGCAATATCTCGAAGATTTGAAGATTATAATTGCAGCAATAAGTATCTTTATGCGAGAACTTGTCGTTTTATGTTAGCAGAATAATTTTATCTCTAGTCACTAAAAATAAGACAGCAATTCAAGTTATTGTTAGCGTGTTCGCGCCGAGAGAAATACACGGTTCATTGAATTTCTTATATTATTTTAGTGGCGAAAAGCCACGGCTTGTTTAGCAATTATTATAATTGTATAATAAAAGTAATTCTGTCAGACTTTGCGTTGTTAGAGATAAGTTGCCGTTTCAACGGAAATATCGTTTGTAATAACTGTCGTGACGTCAATTTTCCGTTCCGCGATAATTAATTTTACGTACGACGTTCAGTGACTTGTTCGACGAAGAGGGCCGCGGGAAGGAGAGGATAACGATGACACTTTTACATATACGTATAAAAAGAAAAAAAGAGGAAGACAAATGATATCTTTGTTATGCAGATGTTCGTCGCATATTTTTTTATCTTCATAGAGCGTTTCACTCCATGAACACAATTTAGCATTACCGGTCGGAAAATCCCAGGTGTCAATACCTATACACGTGTCCTATCTCCACGGGAGAGAAAGCGGAGAAGGCGAAAAAAAAAGAAGTGAAACGGAAAATGAGATAAAGTAAACGTAAGGTATAACAGTGATCGATGAACTTCGCTTTTGTCATCGCACGAAAAAAAAAAAAAAATGATTTTAAAAATGACCTACTCGAACACACACATCATAAAAGCAATCGGCTATAGTCAATTTTGTACGGATGTTATTTTCGGGACTAAATATAATAATATATCAAAGGTGAGTGGTAGTCGCGTAGAAAGTGTAATAATATTACAATTTAAATGATTGTACGTTGAGAATTAGGAGGCGGATAATTATCGTCCTCATTAACCCTCTCACGCTCGAGCTTTTGCAAAAAGTAAAGAAATCAAAGCACTCGCGATTCAGCGAACGATTCCTTATAAAGGAACATTATTTCATGAAATAATTTTATGCAATATTGTGCCGCGCTTGATTGAAACAGGAAGAAAAAAAAACATTCAAAGTGTCTCAGCTTTTTCAGATTAATTGTTATTATTTAACGTTCAATATCTTTGTCTCTAGAGCGAGCATCTTCGCGCGTGGTGAAGGGCGTCGCGTGGGAGGATTAAGGGCACTTTTTCTAGCGTAATTCAATGTACAATATCTCGCGTAAGTATGCATTGAGTGACTCGAGGCTTCTGTGCTCGTACGTTGAAATCGTTTTGTATAGCAGGCATGAACCCTGTCCCCGTCGCACTCGCAAGTGTACGCGAGTGTGGTATTCATAACGCGAGGAATTCCTCGAGAAGTCCAAGTATGTTCCGTTCATTTTGTAATTGCTAACACATTCAACACGGAAATATGGTTCCTGGACGCATTCCACCAAGTGCCGTCGGGATTGCTCGAAGTGTGCAACGTATTCGAATATTCGATAATAATGTTCCAGCTGGTAATTATTCCGAAATGGGATTTCTCGAGTATATTCCGCATGCTTGATTTGCGAATATTCGGATCGATAATTATTCTATTAATCCAGCGACGAACTCTTACGGCGATTAACATTTAATTGCACGGTGTACGTGTTTTGTAACAAAGCGATTATTAAATTACGATTTAACCGCGGATTCCATTGAATTAAATATCGGAATTACTCTTCTCAGGTCGGGGGATTAAAGATTCCGCAGTATTATGCAAGAATTGAAGTTTTTTTTTTCGAGTATTCGAGTACCGAGTCGCTCAAAAATACCACGGCAAATCTAATTCTAACACCAACGTATGTTAGTAGACCGAAGCTTTAATTAATTAGAGCTTGGCCTTCGCGCTTGTTGTTTCGAATTTTCATACACACACACAATCGTGCATTTTCTATTCGAAGATCAAAAAAGAAAGTTTCATATCCTTTATAAATATAAATATAAGAACGAGCGATCCTTCGATAAAGGCCTTTGAACGATGGCGAAAAATCTAACGTGATCGGGACTCTCCGTTTCAGAATTCAAATGCGCTTTATCGAGCTAGAGCTAGGAACTGTCACTTTAAACTGCAACAATTTTATTTGCAAATTAGAACAATTTTTGCGGAGATGAAACCAATCGATAAATCAAACATCAATTATTTGCTTCATAAATCAAATTCATTATTTCCTCGCAGAATGTGATCCGGATTTACGTGCAATACATCATAAAATGAGTTAATGAAACTTTCTAAAATTAACAAAAATATTTGCATAATTGCAAGCAATGTGTGCAATACTTATAAACAAATAGTATGTGTTATCTTTGATAAGACGTACTTAATTGCTTATGAGCATTACCTAAAAAAATAATATATTAATTATACGTTATCCAAATAATTATATGTAATTACATATTATTTATTTATTTTATAAATTAGGGTTGAATTGATACAATCGAATTGATTAAAGTAAAGTATATAAAAAATTAGTTGATAATATTCGGCTAATCGCTAATAATTATATGATGTGTTTTTCTACTGAGTGTTAAATCATAAAAAATCAAAGTCGATTGGAAGAGCTTAGATTAGAAAAAACGGCGTCGCTTTTCTCGAATCGGCGTTCTGTCTATCATAGAGAAAAAGAGAAACGCGATAGAAAATCGATTTCGAACAGGCGAGAAAAATCATTCGCTCAAGGCGATGATTGTTCACGTCGATTCGATTTTAGAAAAAAAAAATGCTGTTAGATGTGCGCCTTTAATTTCGAGCACCGTACAAGCACTTAAACATCGAAGTTGTTTGTTATTATTTCATATGTACAGAGTAAGCTATTTAAACGAGGACGTCTCTCGTCGTTAACGTGAAATAAAAATATTGCAAATAAAATGGAAATTTGCGAGAAACTTTGGAAAACCACAAACAGGAATTGACATTCGAAATTAATGGTCTCGTACAAATAACTTGCTCTGCCCTCCCTCGATGTAATCCTACGTAAAAATAGTTTACCTGTGAAATTCTACGAATTTCAACCCTTTCGCCACTTTTTTGATTGAACTTTCGTTCAAGCATTGAACGACGAATGAATTTTTATGCTCTGAAATTTTATGTTATTCGTGTAGGATCACAATTAGTATTATTCATACTTAAAATATGTGTAATTATACGAAAACATCAAGGCGATTTCTAAAATCGCCTAGGATGATAAAGGTGAACCGATGCGAATTTTCGCGAATTATTTATAAGTCTGTGAATTTCGTCTGTTGTTTGCGTAAGTCTGTGCGAAGCACTTAAATTTAATCAACAAATTCCACCACACCTTCGTTTTATATATCGATAATGCTTTACGATAATTTCGGACACGCGCGAAATCACTTTCATCAGCTGACGCATCGCGAAAGGGTTGAGCGTGATCACAAACATTTTAGGGAGAGATTCTTTTTCTTTTCTTTTAGCGGCTCGGAATGATATTCGACAATTAAGCACGCGTAATAAGGCTGATGCGTATGTATTTACATCATATCCACTTAAGTCTAATGCAAATCGCTGGATATCACACCTCAAGACAACAAAAAAAAAAGGGGAGAAGAAATAAGCGGGAAGAAGCACTATATTGAAAAAGAAAAAAAATATCAATACATATTAATATATAATAGATATTATATTATTACTAAATATTATATTAATATATGATGCTATATATATATTAACTATTTCTATTATGTCCGTCTGCAAAGTCTATTAGAAGAGTCTATCCTGTCGACCTATTCTTACGACCCATGTGGATCTCCTCGGATATATGTATATGTACATACATGTGTGTGTGCGCGTGTATCGACGGGTGTGCAATATCGCGAGGCGAATCGGAGGACGATTCCTTTTTAGCGTGTCTCGGAGATCCGCCACGGCGCAAATTTTATCGGACGCGCACGATTTTTACGATACACGTGTACGTGGCATGTAACGAGACTCGGCGAGCGACCAGGCCGGTCCTCGAGAGCCTCCCGTCCTCGTTTCAGACGATCAATGTGTAAGATCTTCGTCATTAAATGTTCGTGACACGCTCGTGGCAATAAGGAAAAAAAAAAAAATAGGACGCTACGCTCGCGATCGTTTGCGACTATCTCGCTTCAATCCTTTCCGGCGTAACCGTCGGCGCGTCGGCGCTACGCGCGAATCACGGAAGCGTTTGTGAATTAATCGTGGACAGGTATATAATTAATTAAGGACAGTGCCGCGTCAATTCTAATATTCTAATGCTCAATCAAAAAGAAATTGATTCACAGAAAATACTATTATTTTATTTTGGCAACTAATTAATAATTAGAATTGAAATTGGAATTAATTATTAATTATTCGCAGAAATAAAATAAACAGCGCCTTCGGCAACCTTACAATTTTTTTCGGCTAAATTAATATCATATCAAGAATAATACGTCCATCGAGGTAAAAAAAGTTTACTGTAATTACTCTGTAAATTTCCTGTAAAAACACAACTAAATAATGTGATAAAGCGAAAACGAAATGGCAGGCTTTTGAATAGAACGAAGATAATCGAATAGCTGTCGCATAATGCGAGATTAAATTAAAAAAATAAAAAAAAAAAAAAAAAACCAATACGTATATATGTGTGACTTTATAAAACGACTGCCTTCTATTCTGGACAGACTAAGTCTGCCTGATCTGTAATTCTGCGCTATAAACTGTACAAGCAAATAATTCGAGCTTAAAGCTAATTAATTAGCATTATTTTACACAATATATTTTTAGCATACGTTTACACAATGTAAGTGGCTCGCGCGAAAACTGTCGTGAGATACTCGAAAATGTGTTCGTACCTTCATATCACTTTTCTGCGCAATAGCTCTATTATGTATTAAAAATTACTAAATAAGCTCGCGGACGTTCTTGTCGAGCGCGCAAGAGCGGCGTCGTGATCTCCGCGAGTCTCTCACCTGTCCAGGATTAATAGAACAATTCTTCCTCATGCCATAGCGATTTGTGTGTCTCATGCGATATATCCGATATATTGTACAGGGCTGAATCGATTAACTTCGTCGATCTGCGTATGCTGAATCGTGCGTTTGTCGCGCGTGAATTTCTCGACGCGGCCTGTATATCGCGTGATACGACTCTGTATGATTTTTCCGTTTCCGAGGGTGTTCGGTTAGCATATATCCTGACTGCGATTCGATGGGAAATTGCGGGCCGCGTGCCGTTTACGAGCGATCGATTCGCATCGAACATTTTATACGTGTGTGATTTACATAAGCCCGAAATTAAGTTGACACGGTGGCGCACATCGGTCGGCGACCGCGCAGCGGCGCGGCTGCGATTATTTAATGAATTGTGTACGTATACGTTTGAACACGCAGTGGTTAAATTCATATGAACTATGAGCAAATGTGTGTGTCTCAGCCCATGTTGTCAAAGCATCAATAAAAAAAGAGATTTTATAAAACGCGCGGTGTCTTTCTTGTCGCAAGTTTCTTTTAACTCCTCCCATATCTTAATTTTAATTGGCTCTGTTTAACATAAGAAAATATTTGATTGTAATATCATAAATCACAAAAACAGAAAAACTTTTTTAAGTTCTACTTCTTAAATTTCTATGTATATTATTGTTACCTATAGATGTTTATAGAAATTAAAAAATATATTTTTATATATTTTTAAGTAATCGGTATGTACATCATATCCAATTTTGGCGTGTCTGCTGGCGCACATCGACTTTGGACTCATAAATGCTATAAAGCAAAGTTACCATTGAGAATTTTCTTTTAGTATGCTTCAGCGCATGTGCACAGGTAATTTTAATTTCTCAATCAATTTTGTCAATAATTTGAACAACTTTGCTTGTTTTATATATATAATGTGTAATTTGAAAGTATAGATAGGACTTTACAACCTTACTTGCAAACTTTTTTGAATTTTTTTACTAGAATACTATATGCAAATGGGTAAAAAACCATCGTATGCATCACAAATATTGCGACACTAATGCGGACCCTCACAATATCAAGCGCGGCTTTTTTTATTCACATATAGGTTGGGTGATGATGGAGGAACATCCGGAATTTACTGAGAAAAGCAAGAAGCTTGATCTGTCAGATATTATGTCTGATCCTGTTGTAACTTTTGGAGAAAAGTACATGTCGTTTTATTATCTTACTAATAAAAGTTATTAAAAATTTCGAAAAATTTAGTAATTTGTTTTACGATAATACGTATAATGCTAAAGAATACACTTAAATGAACTCTAAATGCTGTTGTGATTGTGTGATAGATATTTCTTGCCGCTTCAACTTTTTTTCGGTTTTATCCTACCTACGGCAATGCCTGTATACCTTTGGAATGAGACCTGGACAAGAGCCATTATGTCGCAAGTTTTTATACGATATATAATCACTTTGAACTCCGTATGGACTATCAACAGTATCGCTCATGTATGGGGTACCAGGCCGTATGATAAGTATGTAATTCACACGTATATATGATATTTACAATTTGCGCACAAAACTGTAATTGCATCTATATATAGCAAACAGAAAATTAAATAGTTCACAATTTTAATATGTTTACTTGATAATATATAAATGTCAAACAAATAATCCTTCAAATAATTAATAAAGTATTATATCTCTTATCAAGGCATTTATCAGAAAAAAATTGTTAGTATAGCCTTCATGATTATCTTTATAAAATTAATTATTTATCGATTTTTTTTTAATAATTTTCTCGTTCTTAGAACTATAGAACCAACGGAAAACGAATTAGTCAATTTCTTAACAATGGGAGAAGGACACCACAATTATCACCATGTGTTCCCGTGGGACTACAGGTCAGCAGAAAAAGGCTACAACAAAATGAATTATACCACTTTCTTTATCGATATTTTTGCGAAACTAAGATTAGCCTATGATCTCAAATATCCACCTATAAATTTAATAAAAAAAATTGTACTGACCAGAGGTGATGGTACACATCACACATTGTCGGAAGTACCAAGACCCGAATAAATCAACAAAAAAAAAATAAAAAATAAAAAAAAATAAAAAAAAACGTACTGGAGCTCTTGATGATGTATCTCGCTGGCTTTTAAACTGTGTTTGTGAATTACATATAATGTAAAATATTTTAAAACTGTGTTTTATAATATGATGATTTAATCAAATATATGAACAATTAAAGCATAATACAGTTATTATAATTTATTATATATAAACTATCGTACTATGTAATATATTGTAATATGTAATATACTGTAGAATATATTTAACAGAATTTCCAAGAAAAAAAAAACTATCGCTAAAAATACTTCTGCAAATTGTGTTGGAAACCTGATCAATCATCAAGTTTATCAAATTGTGAGCAAAAATAAATATATTACTAAAACTAAATACGGGAATTTAAAAATATGTTGTTTACGTAAAAAAAACAAGTATCCTTAAAAAAAATGTTTCTCTAAATATAAGAGATATAACTGTTGTAATTTTAATTTAAAATACGTTATAAAAATTTGAATTACAATAAATATCTTATGCTAAATACTAAAGTTACATACGTAGGTTGCTTTAAAAGTTTTGTGGTTCGGCTATTTCTCGCAACATGGCGCTGTCGGCAATATTTTTTTCAGATTCTCTGAGATTTTTTAGTGCAAACAGCTGTTATAGATTGTTAGCATATGTTGTTGTCATTGTTTAATAATTTTTCAAATAAAGTAAGTTTTGTGAAAAATGGAATTAACCCGCAAACATTTTTGAGTCATGATTTTCTACGATTTTAAAGACGGTCTGATTAGACAACAGTGCTCGAAAAAAAATCAAGCGATTGTTTGGTGATAAAGCCCCATACTTGGCAACTGTTGAACGATGGTACGAGTTCCAGCGTGGACGTGTTTCGTTCAAGAACGAGCATCGTGAAGGACGGCCTGCCACTGCAGTTACTCCAGAAAAAATTGACGTCGTGCGCACCATGATAAAGACAGATAATCGCTGCACATACAGGGCCATTCAGGTATCCTTGGGTATAGGTATGACCCAAATCAGAACCATCCTGCATGATCATCTTGCTGTCAGGAAGCTTTGCGCTCGGTGGATACCACACAATTTGACGCAAGCTCAAAAGAAAGCGCGTGCACCATCACACAACGCATCTCAAACATTAGAGTTTTTGGCCGCTTCAGAAGTGAAATTGATGAAAATTCATCTGCCTTATAGTCCCGACTTGGCACCCTGCGACTTCTTTTTATTCCCATACATCAAAGGCAAAATGCGTGGATTCACATTTAATAGCCCGGAAGCGGCGGTGGAGCCTCGAAAACCTCGTTTTGAGTGACTGCAGAACAATGGGCCCAGTGTTTTCAGGACTGGTTCCACCGAATACAGAAGTGTATAAATCATGAAGGCGAATATTTCGTAAAAACGATAAAAAAAGATTTGGTTAAAATAATTGATGTTTCTTTGTTATCCGCAAAACTTTTAAAGCAACCTACGTATTGCAATTCTTTGTTATATTATAAATAAGTCGTCAATAAAAAGTCAGAATATAAAAATTTGCAAGTGCTAGAATATAGCTACAATAAATGTGTAATTTCTATTAAATAACACATATATTCTAGTTCCTGTAAAAAACATCTGATTTAATATTACATTTTACGAAAGAATATTTCTCTCTTTGCATTGAATAGTAATGTCGTAAAAATAGAAATTGCTTAACGCGCATTATTAATAGACGTCTACAAGAAAGTACAAAGTATCTTTTTACCTCGGTTTGTATGCTTTGACATGAATACATCAATACTAGCATTTTTGATCATCATCTGTAAGACATACTTTAAGTTATATTAACAGACGACAGGCTGATAGTAAGCGGCGCTGAGAAAAAAAAAGTCAGTCCACGGCCACGGCCGACCCGAGAAGAGACGCGACGTGTTAAAATGTATACGCTGTACTATTACTCAAATATACTTATTTCTCCCGTAGTTATCCAAGTGTTGTGCCAACCATTCACTATTTTTACACCATATCTTACACATCTAATGTTACTTATGTCACTAATCTTTATTTATGTTTCGATGAATTTCTAAAAAAAGATCTAGCTGAAAAAGATCTAACTCTAAGAACAAGAAATGTTTATGAACATGTACAAATTGATGCATGATTCTCTTTACGAAAAATAAACATTTTTTCTTTAATTGCTAAATTTCCTAAAAAATTATGGATTTTCATGAAAAACGTGTCAGACAATTTTAATGCAGAATTTTATGTTCTTTCAGAATATGCAATGAAAAATACTACATTTTATTTAAAAAACAAAGTTGACCTTCATATGACCTTCAATTTTACCTTCATCAAAAACAAGCCCACCATCTTATGTCCCCCTCCGAACCCTACAACTTTTGTCTGAAACATTTTTCTCTAAACTCAACAGCGTTTGAAATATTCGTCTGGCTAGATTAAAATAAAACACTCTGTATATACATATATTGATAATATATTTTGCTTTTTAAATGCGTAAATCCCAATGTTTGCAATAAATATTGCAACAAAATTAAAAACACAAAGTATTCTACGACTACAATAACTTATTAGTTAAATTTTAGCTTAAAATT